ATATATTATAACACCAGCATGAATATTCTTTCAGCGATGAGATATCGATAACACTTTTTTGAAAATCAATCCGACTATGTGGCCTCAGGACGAAAATTATCAAAACGGTTTAAAAACTGTAACTCAGCTGAGAATCGTTAACGATGCTGCCGAAAGATATCTCAAAACTGTTCTACTTTTTTAACTCTTGGCGACATTTTCGCGACCCGCTGACTTCAAAGAAGATTCAACTGCTCATTCAAAGTAAATCCTAACATTTAAGAAGGCTTAGCCCTATTGGCCAGTCCAGTTTTACTAAGCTGAAAATATAGGTAAACTAATGTATAACTCGCAGCAGAGCAGCAACAGCAGCCCAGCAGATAAGACCTGAAGATGGTACATGAGATTGTACCGAAATGTCGTCAGACGTACGGTTCTTTTAAGAACCAAAAACCGTCAACACGGAGCAGATCCCGGAAAACCATCAATACATAGAATGCCCGTGGAAACCTATAGAGCGTTTGAGTAAACGTCTGTTTTATATGAGGTCTCAAGCCGTTCACTTTTTTTAAATCCCACCACACATTTTTTGTCTATATTTCCGCTCTCTTCAATGATACAGGATTAGGGCCTGGCTTGCTTGATTTTTGATGAAACGTAATTTTAAAAAGTGGTTAATACTCTGGGTTACAGATATAATAATAATATTAATAATAATAATAATATTTATTGCATGTTAGATTTTTACAATTACCCATCCAGGTTTACAAATTATTAGTTTTCAAACCTGCACAGTAAATGTTAAGAAACATTTGTGCGTGCAAGGAAATAAATATAATAAAAGTGTTTCAAAAACATGCCAAATATAAATAAAACAATTATAAAATATGTATGAACTAATACTAAACTATTCTAACACATATTATCAAGGTTATACAAAACAAAAAAAAAGATAAAAAACAAGATGGTTGATTAAAATATGGTGAAAAGCACCTAAATATATATTTACACAAAATATAAATAAAAACTATATATGTCACGGCTAATGTGAAAACTTGGATAGTTTATAAACTAGCTGGATAGTTTATAAACTAGCCAAACTGTCAGCTATTTTAGCCCAATAGGGCGGGGTCGGTTGGGTTGTGTTGTTGAGTTTGGGTTGGTTTGGGATTTTTTCTCTCATTTTTGACCATTTGACCAATGGGGCGGGGGGGGGTCAATGGGGCGGGGTCGGTAGGGTTGTGTTGTTGAGTTTTCTAACAAGGAAGCGTTAACATTTTGCCTATGATTCATTTTAAAAACGTTAAAATGCACAAAACAAATCCGGTTAAGCCGGCCAAACGAAAAACAATACCGTAACCTCACTTTTTTTAAAAATTTGCCGGAGAATTGGTTGGTTAGTTTACAAACTAGCTAAAGCTTGGCTATTTTGTGTTACTAGAAATTTTGGTTTTCATATTAGCCAAACTGAATTGGATAGTATACAAACTATCCAGATATTTTAGTTTCCCTAATAATTTCAAGTAAATTAGCCAAGATCCTTGGTTATTTTGTAAACTAGCCGCTAATTTAGTTGAAAATATGTTTTCAATTAAAATAGCTGACAGTTTGGCTAGTTTATAAACTATCCAGCTAGTTTATAAACTATCCAAGTTTGCACATTAGCCGTAACATATACATACATGTAAAAACATAAGAGCTCCAATTATTTTATATATAGACACACATTTGTCAAAAGAAGGTATGTACAAAAATTATGAGGTACACCGATAAAATATACAATAATAAATACAATAATAAATACCTAGTCATATTTTAAAGCAATTTTCGTAATATATAGCTTTTGCACATTTTTTTAAACGAATTTAGAATGCTTAACCTTTTCATATTTTCAGGGATACTGTTATATAGTTTTGGATACACATCTCTGGCCAATGGTTTTATAAACTTTTGGAACAAGTCGGTTACCAAATTGCCTTGTATTTCTATTATTTACTAATTTAAATGAGTTTTTTTCGGAATGAGTGTATGTTAAAATATTTAAGTAAACTGGATTGCAGGCAACTACAGTTGCCTGCAATCCATTTTTCCAGCGATACGAAATAATTCTTCAGTTGGGTAAGTAATTTTCACACCATTTATTATTTTAAGAATTCTTTTTTGTAGCAATTTCATATCCTGTAATTGGCTACTGTACAATCCTCCCCATGCAAGGATACCATATCTAAGATGCGACTCTACAATTGAGGAGTGATTTTTCAAAAGACCTTATTTCCATTTTTACTTGAATGTAATTTTTTGACAAAATCCCAAAGGTATGGTTAAAAGGCATATATTAACGGCGAAATATGACAGCAGGTCTGCCCTAACCTATACAGGTTATAGTCATTTTTTTGAAAAATTGCTGCAAATGGAAATACGACCTTTTGAAAAATCACTCCTCAATTGCGTCGTACACCATATTTAACTGGGCTATACTTAAGATTTTAGTATTTTAAAATAATATATAAGGCACCTAACCTTTTTGCTTATTTCTCATTTTTTTTCTACATTTAGTGAAAGTTAATTATGGTCGAACCATTGCTTAATATTAACTAAGTCTTCCTCTATTTCCATTTTTAAGTATTCCCAATTTTGACCTTTATAAAGACTTGTAGTGTCATCCGCAAAACTTGTAATAATACGCCTAATGTTCACTCTAAACAAATTGTTTATAAATGGTATAAAGAGAAGTGGTCCCAAAATAGTCCCTTGCGGAACTCCGTATCTTGGTATCATCATCTCACTAAAACTATCTCAAATTTACACAGTCTGTTTCCGATTTTTTAAATAGCCTGTTAATAATCTTAGAAGAACGCCTCTAACTCCTATATTTCCCAAAACATTGATAAGCTTTTCATGGCTTATCGTATCGAACGCCTTAGCAAGGAAAAATGCCAATTGCTGGTGTACCCTTATCTATAGCATCATATATTTGATTTTTTGGTGCTATTATAGCACTTTGAGTGGATTTGCCTTTCTGAAAGCCAAACTGCCTATCTGAAATAATCTTATACTTTTTTATGTAATTTTCTAAACGATCCTTCAATAATGTTTCCTTTTTTGTATATCGGTATCACTATAGATGTTGTAAAAGAAGAAGAACATATTCCAGATTCGAATATTTATATTAATTATTTCTGATAGTGGTTTTGCTATTGGCTCAGAGATGTTTTTTAATTTGTGACTACTTATTCCATCCACCCCCACAGATTTTTTATTTTTTAATCTTTTGATTGCTAGCTTGACTTCTGCCTCATGGGTTGACATTAAAAATATTGAGTTGTTTAGTTTTCGGCAATTTAGTTTTCATATTTATTTCTTTTATTTCATTGCATACTTTTTTAGGCTATTTATTGTTTTCCATAGTTCTTTATTTTTAGGTTGGTTACTTATTTTTTGTTTGTAAAAATTGTTTTAATTATTAGACTATTTAATTTAATTCTGTAGGTTGTATATTGTTGCTTAATATTTAATATTTAGGTTTCCGGTTTTTATATTCTTTATATAGATTGTATCTGTAATTTATAGAATTTATAATACCTGGTGTTATCCATATTTTCCTTTTCTCATTTCTTTCTTAATTCTTTTAAAAATCGTATTTTTATTTATATTCTAGTTTATGATTTTTATGAATTTTTCTGTTGCAGCTTCCGGTTCTTCAAGTAAAACTGTGTTCCAGTCTACACTATATAAATCCCTGTTTAGGTTTTTATAGTTTATTTGCGTAATAGTATATTTTGTAACAAGTTTGGAATACAGATATTCCGCTCGAGTGAAGAGTTTGTCACACAAGCCGAAGGCGAGTTTGACGGTTTCACGAGAGCGGAATATGCAATTCCAAACGTGTTTCAGACTATACTTTTTTTACGTTTCCAAAAAATAATTTAATTGGAAGAAAGTGAGGTTGGATCCGTTTAAAATTTGTTAGATATTAAAAACAGTCACCACGAGTGTTTATTCTGCCATCCGCATTTTTTCTACTTCTATTACGGAATTTGACCTTTCTAATATCACTTTTATCTATAGAATGACATATATTCCGTAAAGTGTTACAGAATGAAATATTTTATCATCGGATGACAGAATAAACACTCGTTGCGACATCTCTGTTTTTAATATCTAACAAATTTTAAACTGAGCCAACCTCACTTTCTTCCAATTAAATTATTTTTCTATGGTATTTTTTGGAACCGTAAAAAATGTATAGTCTGAAACACGTTTGGAATTGCATATTCCGCTCTCGTGAAACCGTCAAACTCGCCTTCGGCTCGTGTGACAAACTCTTCACTCGAGCGGAATATGCTGTATTCCAAACAATTGTTACAGAATATACTATATTGTAATTTTTGTGTGGTTTTTTATGACTAAGGATGATTTGTGCTGCAATAAGATTATGATCATTTATTTTAGTTTTTACTATTGTTGGTATGGTATAGTCCTCTAAATTATTTTTTGATTTAATAAATATATGATCAATGCATGATTTTTCTTGGTTTTGCTCCCTTGTTATTTTATTTATTGGTGACAAAACCATATTCATTCATAATATTAAGGTAATCACTGGATAGTCCAGTAGGGTTTAGTATATTTATATTTAAGTCTCCTGTAACCACACAAACGTCTGAGTTACAGACATTTGACCTGAAGTATAGGTCCAAATCTAATAAACTTGGGTAGATCAATTCCATGAAGTCTATACACTCCTATAACATTAATTCTGGTATTGTTTATATTAATTCTTGTATTTATAACATTGCATTCTTTAATTTGATCAATTTTAAATGTAAAATCCAAACCTGTCATAAACATAATAACACCATCGTTTTTATTACATAATTTATGTTTGTTTTTCGAGTTTCTGATAATACTATACAATCAAATTTATTTTTAAATTGAGTCAAAAAAATTTCAAGCTCATCTTAGTTTTTTCTAGCACTTCTTATATTAAGTTGTATGATTTTAAAATTATAAGCTTGAGAATTTTTTTCAAACACTTTATTACATTCCTTGGCAGTTTTTAGAATGTGAGCATGTAAATATTTTTCTTCAATTAACTCTTACAAAAAAGTATTATATTTAAAAACCTTCGTTTGACGGTTGAAATAAATAAACAATTAAAAATAATTAATAATAGTCACAATCCACACAACAAGGTCTGTTCGATCTCGTAGTAAAAAAAAATCAGGTTATTTTATAACCCACAAATTAACCTTCAAATTGACATTTGACAGCCCTGATAGAATAAGGTTTATTTTTTACAAAAAAAGGGTAAAATAATTGTTCTTAACACTTAACACTCTCTGTAAGAAACACAACGTTTAAAACGATTATTAATCTGTACAAACCCAAAGCACAAGAATTGTAAACAACAAAAATGGCCACCATTGTATGATGTGCAGTGTTGCAGTGATTTTTAGTATTTTAGTACCAGATCGAACAGACCTTGTTGTGTATATTGTGGTAACAGTAATTATTGTTTGTTTAAATAAAAGTCAAATTTTTAATTTTTTAGTTCAACTTTATTGCTAGTCGTAAAGCAAGCAATGAACACGTTGATAATGGTGATAAAAAATATCTTTACTACAACTATATTCTTCAGTTTTTTTGCCCTCTTATTTTTACCAGTTCCCCTAAAATCCATTCTTCCTTTAAATATCAGACAAACTCCAACACTAACTTGTAATATTAATGAAATAGCTATTAGCACTATAAGCAAATGGTATGTCGGTATGTATTCGTTATATTCTAAAACGTATCGCAGCTGATTGGCGTTTGCTGTAATAAGGGCTATGTCCATCATTCCTAAAAAATAAATACTATTTAATTAAAAAAATATACATAATCAGACCAATCCACTAACATGAGTCGTTAACGTTAGCCACTAGAATTAGTGGATATCGTTATATTTAATCGACATGATTGGTCGAATTGACCGTTAACCACTGATTAAAGTGGCTATCGTTAACGATTTGTTAGTGAATTGGCCTGATTATTATTTGTATGAATTATTGGTATTGTCAAAAGTTTTTAATTTTTAAATATGCTATTTAAAAACATCTTTAAAAAATTTGGTTTAAAATAAAATGTTATTATTATTTTTATAGAGAGACTGTTATGCATAAAAAAATAATTTCTTAAGAACATTTCAAAAAGTACAAATTTGTTATAATATATAAGTTTGGATCTGCGATTTTGCTCAAATTGCAATATGTTTTTTTGGCCGATAGCCGAAAACTACATTAAAACACGAAAAAATAACGTAAAATTTTTACAATATCTGCAAAAAAAAATCAGTATCTTTAAATACATACAAAAACATGATAACCTTAGCTGCCTTATTTGTATTTTGAATTAAAATTTACGCTTTTAATCAAACATATTTATTCTGAGCCTGTAGAGCGAGAACAAGGAAGGTACAAATTTGGAAAACTTTTCCATGGAACTTTTTTTTCAGATTGTATGCAAACTAGGGTACTTTAAAAAAAAATTTTTCAACTCTTGCCCTCCCAAATGTTGGTGATTGATAAAAAAAATTACATTTTTTTTTGAAGCACCCTAGTTTGCATACATTTCGAAAAAAAGTTTTCTATATTTTTACCTTCCTTTTTCTCGCTCTACAGGCTCAGAATATTTATTTTCGATTAAAGGCGTGAACTTGTGAGTCAATACATTTTCACATGATTTAGAAACCGAAAAAAACAATTAAAAAAAAATACGAAATTTTTTGGGTACCCCATTTTGACCCCCCCCTAAAGTTTATAGAAATGTCTTATTTTTGGATAAATCCATAATTGGCCTACGATTAGAAGAAGGGTGAATTCGTATTTTAAGAGGTCGTGGGAGACAAGCTACTCTGAGCTGAACAATCGATCCCTCAAGGCAAAGGAGGAAGTGTAATGTTTTGGGGTGGCTTTATGATTGGTTAGGTCCAAGGTATGTGGATTTATACAGGGTAGTAAACCTCCATTTACCAGCAGAGTTGCTAAAAATTGTTTGGAAATGGAAAGTGTGACTGTTTTAGAGTGGCATTCTTGTTTACCGGATATAAATGGAATTAAGAAACTTGTGAGGTTAAAAGGTTAAAAGAAGGAGTATATGTCAAAATAGCCCTGATAATACAGAGAAACTAATAAAACCAGTTTTAGAGAGATGAAGAAATGTTTCCAAAGAAGAAATTCATAACTTAATAGAAAGCATGCCTGGTAGAAATTTATGCTTGCATTGATGCTGGAGGTGGCAACACTGATTATTTAATTAACTTAAACCCATCATTTCTTCTTAAACTCTAATATTTACCGTAAATTACATTTTTAGAGAACTACACATTTTTTGTTATTTGTTCAATACAAAATTTGTTTTAATATTTTTTATCTTTTTTTTTGTAATAAAGTTGGTTAGGATAAGGAGCTTATACTGTTTCTCGTAATTACTGGGTGATTCCACATAAGATTGGTTGTGTGTATACATATATATATATATATATGATACAGTAATACTTGATTTTACTTACCTTGTGCAGCTGTTTTCGTTGCAGCAAAACTAGTCGGTATTTTTTCGGGATCTTCTTTCACAAAACCTTTTAAATCTACTGAATCAGATCTGTCAATACGGTCAACATTTGAATTATATTCTTCATTGTCACTGGCTTCTTTGTCGGACTCATCTAAACATACAAAAATTGAATTTTATTTTAGGGGTCGTCCATATATGACGGATTACGAATGGGGGGCAAATTATTATGCTCACATTATCAATTTTTTTATCATGTGAAAATAAGCATGTTAGATTTTACAAAAAAAATCCATTTTGACGTCAATAGGGTTTACGATTTTATTTATTTAAATTTTATTTAACATCGACTGCGAATGAACCCGTTCGTGTTAACACGATTTTTTGCTAAGAAAATAAATCACTTTTATGATCCCATGGCGAATATTTTTTCTTACTTCACGATTTCGGTTAAAATTTGATTCTTAATTGAGAAATTCTTAGCGTTTGAGCACACTCTACGGAAATCACGAAACATATCCACACTCTTAAAAAAGACCTGGCATTTGCAATGAAAATTTAGTTCCCAGGACCAATTTTATTAGTGAAAATAGGCACAAAAAAAAATATGTTGTGGGAACTAATACAAATTTGTTTTTACAGTTTGTTGTCGGAACATCCAATATTGGTAGCTCCAACCAACAAGTTTAAGTGCATCGAAATTAGTTTTTTTTTCATACAAATAATTGATATTTAATGCAATCACATTAGTCTGTCATTTTAGCAGCGTCTAAGTTGTAACAACTGCACTTGCTATTTATCGCAACAAACATTGTATCATGCAGGAATTTATTTTTTAATTGAAATTACATGAAAAAAGGTACATTTAAAGAATTTAATAGTTGATATAAAATAAATTTGTTTTGTACTGTAACAAAGTTATATTTAATATTAAATGCTTGCATTAGTAGCAACAACAAATTGGTATTATTCCACAGTACATACCTACTTAGTAGATATAACACTTTTTGTGTAAATATTATAAAAAGTAGAGAAAGGAAATTCATGCCCGTTCGTTTTATAAATATTTATTATAAATTAAAAAATAACAATATAACTGAAAACACCAAATTTTGGTTTAAACATTATAACAAAAATTAATAATTACTCTAAGAAAACATTTATAAATATTTTAACAATAAAACAAAAGCGATTCTTTGATAAATATACACAGATAGGTACATTAAGATGAAAGTTGACTATACTTCTTCAGTAAACCGTGATGTTTACGTGAAGTGCAAGCCTTTGTTTAACAACTTAACAATGATTATTAGGTACAACGTAACTTGCATGATAACAGGGGTAAGCATTCGATAAATTTTGAGTGTGAGTGCCTATAGTATAGGCCCTATACCAAAAATGCGACTTGAGCTGTAACAAAACAAAACAAAAAAATTCTCGAAATTCCGACGTGATGAAGACTTTTGGTGGGCACCATTGGATTCAGGAGGCCATTTTCAGTCGGAATGGCATTTTCACATTTATGTAATTTTTTTTCGGACCCCAAAACTACAATAGTGTAATTAAAGGAGTGCAATAATAATACCTAACCTTTAAAAACTGGAACCAATTCAGGTAAACCCAATGTTCCTAATAAATCTGCTACTTCAGTCCGCTCATCCATATTATTTGTTCGAGATATCTATAAGTAACCAACACATAAGAATACATTCTTATATATATGAATAGTTAAAAAGTATGTCGCCACTGAATTTACAGGGGCAAATGACTAATTGTAATAAACTAGTTTCTTACCTAAAATATACACTACACACGAGCTGATACACAAATACAAAAGAACAAACACCACCGAAGTCTGGACGCCGTGCAACACCGTTTGTTTACAGGTTAAAAGTAAAGCACGCGCCGGGCTGGACAAATCGCGCGCGAAATGCACAACTAACACTTTGTTTCACACCGCTGGTGTCTTAGCTGTGTGAAAAGTGACGCATAGTTTATACAACCGAACCGTTAGTTCCACGGACTAATTTCAGTCAGTTGAGAATGTTACTTAAATATTTGCTCCAACAAAAACATTTTACCGCCGAAATGATTTTTTTGAGGTAATATTGTCAATACTCAACACAAAGTTTCAGTTAAAATAACTTAATCGCTTTTTTGCAGTAAATAATACTCAACAACAAAACTAAATCTTTTCAGGTAATGATGCAAGCAGTTACACATATAAAGGTACTGATTACAAAAAACAAAAATTTTTATTTTCTGCAACAGTTTTACCCCAACGATAATAAGTTAGTTACAAATACCAGGTCTTTTCTAAGAGTGCAGGTTCGTGTGTGGAATTTAATCTTATAACAAATTAAGATAAATAGGAAAAATATGCATACCTATAGGCATGAGTTATTAATTATTACCCTTTATGTTAATTCGATGTGTAAATAAAAAATATATATTATTTGTATACAGTGTGACGGTCACACTGTATACTAATAATATATATTTTTATTTTATTTTACTTTTTATAAATGGGTCACACTGTGACCCATTTATTTGCTACTCACTCCTGTAAAATCTTTATTTATACCATGTTACTATTAGTTTAATTTTATTTCAATTGACAGAATAATTTTTTTTTAAATAGTAATTATTGTTTATTTTTAATTTAGCTACAAAATCGTTCCTACTTAAAAAATTTCAATAAAGTGTAGTATAGGGTCGTTTTAAGGGGTGGTGAATCCAGTGCTGTGCATTCATTTTTTTTAAATCTCCAATATGAATTCTTTAAAATTTACTTTTAAAAACTGACATAATAAAATATCGCGTATTTCGTTTCAAAAATACAGTTTATTAATAATAAAAGATTAAAAAACAAAAATTTTACAGGGGTGAGTCGCAAACAAATGGGTATATGAGTTTATAATAAATTATGACCTAATAAATTTACCTTCATTATTGATTCTGTAGTGTTCTTCTGCAGGTTTTTCCGTACGGTCTAAATAATAATAAATAAATAATTATAATAATAATTAATAAAATTAATTTGTTAAATAAAGTTAAAAAAAATTAGGTATAATAATTTAAATTTATCTGCAAAATATGAATTGATATATTTAAAAAATTCACTATCAAAAATATATATATTTTTGATAGTGAATTTTATATGTATTAAGCTGTAATGCTAACATACAGATAAAACATAATTCACAGTTATAAAATTAAATTTGTTAACATCAGTTTGTAGTTTGTTACTTTCATTTTGTAAAATTAAACAAAATTATTTGTTAAAAACCAGCGATGTAAATATTTTAATAATTTAATAAAGACAAAGTTTTTACCGAAAGTTTTCAAAAAGTACTATGCAATTTTGTTAATTTTTATAGGTTACTGATTATTTGGGTTATGTTTAACAAATAATTTTGTTAAAAAAGTACACGTGATTCAGGCAGTCAATCAAAATATTTTTTTTATCGTCAACCAATCCTGCGTCAGCCCAACAAGTTCAACTGATTTCAGCGTTTGCAACTTATTGTTCTGCTTACTTTATTTATGATTCGTAACGTGTTCGTTACAACTGGAGTGTTCATAATAATTAAAACGTTTATAATATATTAGCAGAAATGCGTTATGAATGTTATTCGGATTCCTTAAAGGTACCTCATAACCAAAGACCGGATTTTAGGCCGTTAAAAATTGGAAATTAGGAGACTTAAATAGGCAATAAAAACCTACATTTTAGGCTGTTTTAGGCCTAGTGCCAAAAATAGGCCTCAACCGCCTAAAATAGGCGATATGAAATAAAAACAACATAATTTTTATTAAACTTAATATTAAAGAAAGTGTTTTAATATGGATAATAGAATCTATTAAATAGATGCTTTCAGTCCTTGATAACATTTCGGACAGTAGTGTTTTAAATTAAACTTAAGGTCACTGTCCAGAAAATGTTTAGAGGAAACAGAAGCGGTCTTAACGTTAATATTGTCTATTCTTTTTATGGCATTTAACCACTGTTTTCGGGAATCGATGAAGTTTAATGTTTTTATTTAAAGGGTTTTTCTTGGACTGGTTCAGTGGCGGCTGGTGGATTTTAAGTATACCAATATCTCAGTTATTAGACATGGGACCCACACCAAATTTATAATAGTTTATATTGACATTAAATAAACAAGTTCGGCGCAAACAGAATTTAAATTGAAGTTTGCGAAAAAAAGTTAGTTTTTCCTGTCGCCTACCCTGCCTCCAGGCCCCCCTATTTGAGATAATTCAAATTAAAGTGGTGCAATTTATTATCTACTATAATTTATCGACAAATTTAAAATTTTATTTAAAAAATCCCAATATTACAGTTTTTATACCATTTTAAATATTTTTTTATTTTAATAAAATAAATAATAAAAATTTAAAATCGAATAAAATCTGTAATATTTGGATTTTTTTAATAAAATTTTAAATTTGTCGATAAATTATAGTAGATAATAAATTGCACCACTTTAATTTGAATTATCTCAAATAGGGGGGCCTGGAGGAAGGGTAGGCGACAGGAAAAACTAACTTTTTTTCGCAAACTTCAATTTAAATTCTGTTTGCGCCGAACTTGTTTATTTAATGTCAATATAAACTATTATAAATTTGGTGTGGGTCCCATGTCTAATAACTGAGATATTGGTATACTTAAAATCCACCAGCCGCCACTGGACTGGTTGTCCGAATTGCACCCAAATATGCCACACCACATTTTAATAAATGCAAATGGCACGACACAAACAAAACAAGTTAAACACAAAAACAATAATAAACAAACAGAACAGGTTAACACAACGTAATACATATAGGTATACAATAAAACCTATGAAAACAAAGTAAATAATAATGTTTAACCATTATTTTACAATAATGTTTAACCATTATTTTACAATAATGTTTAACCATTATTTTACAAACTTAATATTATCCATAATTATTTATAATAAATATTTAGAAATAACAAAAACACAATAACTTTTTTCATTAGATTTTCACTAGTTTTGTAATTTGTGGTCCTCGTACTCGCCAAGGCCGTCTAGGCGAAATAAGAGCAAGAAAGCAGGGCCTAATTAAAAATAATTTAATTTTTCGCATTGAAAAATATGTTTTTTCTGAAAAATTAAAAGAGCCTATTTTAGGCTCATAAAAATGTCCTTTTAGGAGCCTAAATCAAATTTCGCCATTTTAGGCTTTTAGGCAAAAACAACGGGGTGTCAAACGCTTTATTTTTTTAAGTTTAGGATTTTTATCAAGGTCCCAAACAAATGCCTGAAATAGAAACGAAAAGGCATTTTGCCTAAAATCCGGTCCTTGCTCATAACGAGTGTGCGAAGTGCGAAGTATCCGAAATAAAATGCCCTTAAACTCAATACAGTGAATTGGGTTGAACGCACATCTGTAAGTGTTGTAGTGGTACACAGTAAAAAAATATTTGATAATTTTAACCAAATGCTAACTAGATTTTATGTTAATCCAGGTCCACATAACTTACAACCAAGTGTAATCTATTAACTAATTAAATAAATAGCTGTTTCCCTTTATTGGAACATCAGTACCGAGTTGCTATATGGTGCGGAACACAAACGAAATTATGATTTCTCGTTCTTATAAAGGTTTTTAAATCATTCACTGCGGTGAGGCAAAAGTAAGTGGTGCCATCAGATGGTAGATTCTACCGTCTTAAACATATAAAATAAAGAACATGTCAAAAGACGGTAGATGGCACCACTTACTTTAATCTCACCACAGTAAATGATTCCAAAACCTATATAGGACGAGGAATCACAATTTCGTTTGTTTTCCGAACCATACAGTTATAACTATAGTTAAACTTGTTAATGCGTATTCTAAATGGGAAATGTTTTGATTAATTGCCTGAAATAACGTACTTTTTTAACCAAATAATTTGCTAAGCATTTACAAAATAATCTGTAACCTTTAAAATTAACAAAATGCATATTACACTGAAAAAAATAAGCTGTTGAAACAACAACAAAAATACTAAAAACTTATGTTAACAAATCTGATTTTTAACAGTGAACGGATAATTATATTGAACTAAATTTCTATATAATTTGATGATTTTAGAATGTTGTGTTATTTATATTTGTGTGTATTTATGTGGGTATGTCTTCATTTTTGTTTGTTTAGGAAATTGATTAAAAAAGCAACATTTCTTGTAAAAATTCTTTTTTTAAGTTCCCAATTTCCAACAAATACTTTTGTTACTGGGTCTACAAAAATGTTTGTAAGAATCTCGGTTTTTAAATTTTCAAGAATAAGGTTGAATTATTGACATGGAATTTTGTTATTAAATCTACAATATGTTTGTAATAATTACAATTACAATTACTTAGTTAACAGATTACGAAATTAATAAATATTTTTACTGTGTTTAGAGAAAGTTTAAATTATAATTAAGTTATAAGTTATAACTTACTAATAACATTTGATGATGTTTCCATGGATTCTTTGTCTATAGTGGATGAACCTGAAAAAATCAAAAATCAGATTTAAAATTTTAACTTTTAAATTATAAAAAGTCAAAATATTAAAAAAAAATTCCTTTTTGTACTGTGAAATGTATTCTTTTAATATTCAGTATTTCCCTAGATTGAGTTTACAAGAGGGGAAAATATTTAACATATTTAACAAATTTTTACAACAAAAAGTTGTATTTATTTACGACGGAAATTATAAGGTTGATTTTATCTTCAATCAAAAAGCCTCCTAGGATGTAAAAACAATTTAGACCAATCGGGTAAAGTTTTTTACCTCCTAGTCTGTGAATTACCCGTTTGGACCAATCAAAAGCTCGACTATTGTCAGATCTAATCTAACCTCACTTATAATACTTATTATAATTCTACATTTTATGTATTGTTTAACCAATAAAATTAGTCCTTGAAGAAAAAATGTTGTATTTCATGCGGCTAAGAAGTGTATTTTTGTGCTCCGCTACGCTTTGGCATGCAAACTTTGGGCACAGCTCAAAAATTACTTCTCAGCCTTATGACATAAATAACTATTTCTATTTCAAAAAAAGTAATTTTTGGATTAATGTTTTAATTGTCAAAAAAATAATATTCACATAGTAAAATTAAATATTTCAACTACAGTGTGTTTAACAGAATTGGTCCATCAGGTCACAAATTTATGTTTTAAAATGTGAGTGACTCCCTTCCAAAAAGGATTAAAAATTAAAAAAACATGATTATCAGCCTTTTAAACCAAGTATAGTTGTGAATATTCCCCACTTTTTAAATCTAAAAAACTACCCCTTTCAAAGGGGTTAATATTTGAAAAATTTTGTAATGACACAGTAGTTCGCGAGGAAAATACAAATACAAAAATGTTTTTCACAATATTTGTTTGAAATAACGGAGATAAGTATTTTTCGAACATTTATCCCTCAATACGGGTAATTGAATAAGAGGTTAAAAAGAGATTTGTTAAATTATCTAGATTCTCAGTAGCCAACTCACAACATATACATATACACACAACCAAACTTTATTGGAATCACCCAGTAATTACGAGAAACATTATTCCACTTAAAAAAAGTGATTTGGAAATAAAAACCACATCCCAGCAAGCACAAACATCCTCAGGACGTCCTTGGACCAGCCTAAATGTCCCAGAATGGGATGATCCTATAAGGACTTCCTGAGGACGTCCATAGGTTGACCTTATCGGACATTAGATCTTTTTTAGGTCCCATTTTGGGATATCCTAGGAACGTCATTTAAGGATGTCGTTAGGACCTAATAATATCCTAATTAAAGCCTAAAATGGGCTGATCATAGGACTAATCCCAGAGACATCCTCAGAATGTCCCGTTAGGTTTTGGTAAACATTTGGTATGCACATTTTTCTATAATAATAATACCTACATTTTTTTACATAACGGCCATTCCAAGCCCATGGACAGGACACATCAGAAACATGTCTAAATATATTCTTGTTACTTCCTTAAGTTTACTTATTTTTTCTACGAGTATTTATGAGAAGTATTAGCCAAATTTGGCTAATACTTCTCATAAATACTCGTAGAAAAAATAAGTAAACTTAAGGAAGTAACAAGAATATATTTAGACATGTTTCTGATGTGTCCTGTCCATGGGCTTGGAATGGCCGATAACTTATTTTGCATAGGCACATCTTAAAAATGTCAATCAATATAATTATAATATTATATTATATAGATTTTTTTAAGTTTATAAACGACTTGCATACTATATTTTTTCTACGACAATCACAAAATTTAAATAACTTTCAACAATTATATATAAATAATTATTTATAAAATCTGACATCGACCAGTCTATTCTAACCTCACTTTTTAGACCCTTTATTTTGATGGTCATTGTTTCTCAATTAACTTCAACCCATGACTAAAAAGTCCGAATGCCATTGCTGCCAACTTCAACCCGTGACTAAAACGTCATAAAGCCACAACTTGTCAATGTGTATTTAAAATATCATGGAAACATGTACGATAATCGGCGTTTTAAAGGCAATATTATATTTTGTGTATTTGTTATAATATCCATTTGTATACAAAATATATTTTGTGGTCATATTATGACCACAAAATATATTTTGTATACAATTGGATAGCAGCCAACTTAATACGCATGCGCAGAAATGACGGCTGGTAATTAATAATTGATCAAACACCTTGTTTGTAAGGTATTGATACATTTTGAGTTTTATAAATAATAAATAAGGTAGTAAGCGTCAGTTAACCTTAAAAATGTAATTACAAACGCAATCTATAACTTATTTAATAGTTTGTGTTACCGATTGTTTTAAATTTGCCGCCTTACGTTATGGTGGTAACCATTGTCTATGGTGGTAACCAAAGATGGTGGTAACACTGGATGGAGAGAAAGCTAAGATGACGTATAGCGTCCTTTAGTTGTTTGTCGCCTTTTTGTTAGAAAGAATCATAGATAACACTGTGAAAGGAATTCTTTGTCTGTGCCGTGAATTCTTTTTCTGTGTCGTGAACCTGGTTTAAGGCCGTGAATCTCGTGTTCTCCAAGTGTGTTTGTTAGAATATAATATTATTATAGTGTTCTCTTCGAAATAAACCTTAAATACTAATTTGCTTGAAGATTGAAGTGAACAACAATCATAAAATTCTGGTGAGTTATAATAAGCATACTTGTTAAAAAATAAAAAAATCGTATTTAATTTGTTTCAAAATTTTCAGAAGAAAAAATGCCACTAATTTGCCAATTTAACCGACTTTGTAGCTGCAATAATAATGGAGTTAAAATGGTGAGCAGATAACTTTGGACACTGTGATACATTAATGATATAACTATTATAATATACAGTATGTCTCAGTATCTTGGAATCATATGGAAAACTTTTTTATTATTAATTTTAGGAAAAAAAGTTATTCTTCATAAAAAGTTCTGCATGGTGTAAAACTTAAAATGCAACCCACAAATATTATTTTTTTTTAGTCGTATACGGGGTATGTCAGAAAATATGAATTTGGCTCAAGAGTAAAGTACCTTTATAATTGACAATATCGAAAATTGTTATAAAGAAAAGTTAATCAGAACTAAAAACTACGTTTAAATATGCAATTTCATACATTTACATTAAAAAATTAGGTTTTGTTAATTTTTACTAATCTTTCTATTTTAAATGAACATTTATCTGTTATGATTAGAAAAAACATGAAAACCTTAAGTTAAGTCAGGGGATCTAGCAGGCAAAAAAGTATTAGAATATCAACAAATCATTTGTTTATCAGTGAATCCTAAATTACATGTTACAGTTAAATTTGCATTGATATTGTAGACAAAAAAGAAAAAATATTTTTTTTAATGTAAATGGATGTAATTGCATATTTGAACGTAGTTTTTAGTTCTGATTAACTTTTCTTTATAACAATTTTCGATATTGTCAAATATAAAGGTACTTTACTCTTGAGCCAAATTCATATTTTTGGACATACCCCGTATACGACTAAAAAAAAATAATATTTGTGGGTTGCATTTTAAGTTTTTCACCATGCAGAACTTTTTATGAAGAATAACTTTTTTTTCTAAAATTAATAATAAAAAAGTTTTCCATATGATTCCAAGATACTGAGACATACTGTATATATTTATTTAGAATTATTATTTATTTTATATAATTGGCTGTGTAAAATTATATATATGTATACAGAATTAAAATAATATATTTTATAAAGTAATAAAATGGTATTTGATTGATAAAATGTATCCCCAACAAATAATAAGGCCATTCAGAGGATGTCCTCAGGACATCCCATTCCTGGACCTACATATACCCATAGGACTTTCAGGGGACATCCTTAGGATGTCCTATTCCTGGACCTATATGGACCTAGGGATATCCCTAGGATATCCTAAAGGCCATTTGCGGGACGTCTGTAGGCTGGCCTTTTTTGCACCATTCGGCCATGGTTGGGATGTCCTGAGGAGGTCTGAGGACGTCCTAGGATATCCTTGGGATATCCCAATATCCTGTAAGGCTTTCCTTAGGACGTCCTTAGGATAGACTTGTGCTAGCTGGGATTATCTGAACCAATTTTATTGAAAAAATAAAGAAAAATTTTCTAGAGAAAAGATATTCATAGGTTACAGATTATTTTGTTAATGTTTAGCCAATTATTTCGTTAAAAAAGTACACGCGATTTTAGGCAGCCAATCAAAACATTTCCCACTGTTATTTTATCGTCAACCATCCTGCTTCAGCAGAATACATATTAAAAATAATAATTGTTAAACAATTTAACTGATTTCAGCGTTTGCAACTTATTATTCTGCTTACTTTATTCTGATTCATAACGTGTTCGTAAACTGGAATTGTACTAAATTTCTATATAGGTAACCTGATGACTTCAGAATGGTGTGTTATTTATTTTTATGTTAATTTATGTGGGTATATCTTTATTTTGTTTGTTTAGGAAATTGATTAACAAAGCAACATTTCTTATCAAAATTTTGTTTTGTTAGTTTCCGATTTTAAACAAATAGTTTTGTTACTGGGTCTATAATTAAGTTTGTAAGAATAAGCCGTTTAGAAATTTACAAGAATTATGGTTGAATTATTGACTAAATTTCTTTATTAAATCTACAAAATGTTTGTAATAATTACAAACTACTTATTTACAAAATTAACAGATTACAAAATTAATAAATATTTTTTTACAGTGTAGATAGAAAATTTATATTAACTTACTGTTATCATTTCTTGATGTTTCCATGGACCTAGAGTCTACAGTGGATGAACCTGAAAAAAATGAAAAATCAGATTTAAATTTGGTACCTTAAATTTTTAACTATTAAATTATAAATTTCATAAAAAGTGTAAATATTAAAAAAAGTTTTTTGTACTGGGCAATGATTCTTTTAATATTCAGTATTTCCCTGGGTTGGGTTTACAAGAGGGAAATATATTTAACATTAACATAAAAAATGGGGTTTTATCTAAACGGTGTTTATGTATCAGCAACATCTAAAAATTAACATGTTTACAACAAAAAGTTGTTTTTAATTAAGAAAATTACGACAAAAATTACAAAGTTTATTTTATCTTTAATTAAAAAACCTCCTAGGCTGTAAAAATAATTTAAACCATTAGGGTAAAGTTTTTTACCTCCTAGTAAAATCCGTTTTGGACCAATCAAAAACTCGACTATAGTCAGATCTAATCTAACCTTACTTTCTTTCTACCTAAAATACTTATTATAATTGCACGTTTTATGTATTGTTTAACCAATAAAATAAGACCTGAAGATAATAGTATATTATGTATCAAGTTTTATAAATGCCATTTTAGTTACGAGTTTAATTAAGCACGAGCGAAGCTTGCGAGCGAGTGTTTAATAAAAACGAGTGTCTAGAGAAGTTTATAAACGAGTTGCATACTATAGGGGCCGTTCATTAATTACGTGAGGTGTTTAGGGGGGGGAGGGGGTCGAGCCAAACCTCACCAAATCTCACGTGGGGGAGAGGGGGGGGTCTCGGCAAATATCACGTAATTTTTTTTTCCGAAAGAAAGAGTGTAAAATTGCGAGAAAACCGGGTTAAATTAAGTAAATAATTATAAGCAAATTGTTTTTTTAAATAAATTTAATGGAATCAAGCACAGATTAACTTATTTACATGCATTTTAAAAAATCTCACGTGAGATTAAGGGGGGGAGAGGGGGTCGAGCAAAATCTCACGACATCTCACCTAGGGGAGGGGGGGGGGTCGAAAAATCGCCAAAATTGTCTCACGTAATTAATGAACGGCCCCATACTTTATCTACGACGGACACAAAACAGAATTTAAATCCAATTTTATTTGTTAAAATTTTGACATCTGTCAACTGTCACCCGAATTTAACCTCACTTTTTCCCAATTTATAATCAAGCTAACTTCAGCCCGTGACGTAAAATGTCGAAAAACCACTGTTGTTAACTTCAGCCCGTCAATAAAACGCCATAAAGTTACAGCTCGTCAATGTAGGAGTAGATAAAATGTTGTATTTCATTCGGCTGAGAAGTTTCTTTTTGTGCTTCGCTCAATTGTAGGCCTCCGCACCGCTTTGGAATTCAAACTTTGAGCTCAGCACAAAAAGACTTACTTCCTAGCCTTATAAAATAAATAACTATTTCTATTTCAAAAAAAGTCATTCTTGATTAAATGTTTTAATTGTCAAATAAATAATATTCACATAGTATTTTATAAAATTAAAGATTTTAACTAAAGTGCGTGGTCCATTAGGTCACAAGTTTTTTCTAGGGTCACAATTTTTTTCTAATTGTTAAAATTTTATCAACAAACAAATATTGTAGAGTACAGAATCTGATTACAAAAATGTGAATTTCTCTGAGAATAAACTTTACAATAAATTAGAATAATAGGTTTTTGTTAATTTAAGAATCAGTGTTTTAACCTCTAGCCTCAATGCAAGCACGAATTCGTCGAGGCATGATTTTTATTAAGTTATTTATTTCTTCTTGTTAAACTTTGGTTGTGTACATTGAACCCATATGACAAAGTTATTTACAACTTATCACACCCCCAAGTACACAAAGTAACGAAGATATTTTAAATATTTATCCCTGCAGAGAGGTGGTTTTCAAAACAGGGTTGGAGATGTATTATCAAATTCTCTAGATATTTAGTAGACGGCTCACAACAAAACTATTTTTAAATTTTTAATATCTCAAGAAAGAGAAAAATGAAATTATGAAATATTCAACCCCTCTAAAGGGAGTAATTTTATAATTAAAAAAGTGAGGAATATCTTCAACTATACTCGGGATAAAAGGCTCATCATCATCATGTTTTTTAATTTTTAACCTTATTTTTGGAAGGGATTCACTCAGAAATTTTCGCATTTAAAAAAAATTAAAAATAAAGTTACTTCTCTCTTGAATACATTTTAGGTTTTCCTAATTCCTGTAAATAAAACCTTAAATTTTTCATGTCAATGTTATTTTTCGACCATCAAGACGTTCTATCTTAAAATTAAAAATAAAAAATGTTTTCTCTTGCAAACTCAATCTGGTATATAATACATTGCCAGCATTGCATGTAAAAAGTGGTGCAACACAAATTTGATATTAAAACGCAACCGACCAAAAAAATACATTTCAAATAAATGTATACGCATGCGACTGCAGTCCGACTAATTGCCAAATATCACGTAATTTAAACTGAATTGCATTTAATATTTACGAGGTATCAGGAACAATGCAAAAGCCCCATATAAATCCGTTAATTACGATTTCGATATGTAAAAATTATTATTTTGCAAAAGCTCTATTGATTTATTATTGAGGGCACGCCAACACTAATCTTCTAGTTTACACGGAATTTAATACATATTTTGTAACGAATTTATAAAACTAAGCTATACGCCAATCAAATACTTCCGTTTCGATGGGCCAGCATGGTAGGATTTTCTAAATCGCTATACATATAATGGAACGCTATACATATAATGGAAATTTGTTTTACATAAACGCCCATTTAGCTTGTGTTTAAGCGATAGTTTTATGAATAAACTTTAAACAATAAACAACTTATGAGCAGAGCTGGGTCAAGTACAAGTAAAATGTATTCGAGTACTGAGTACAAAGTACTTTGTATAATTCCTAAAGAAGTAGCAAGTACTCTACTAATTGCAAAGTACTCCGAGTATAGTACTTGTATTTTAAGAGTACATGTTACAAGACAAAAGTAGAAAAATACCCATTGGACATTCTTAAAAATATTCAGTAGAATCTTGACCTGTACCTGTGATAAGCCAATCGGAAAATTTGGAAAATGTTTTTAGGTTTTCCCATAAAAATATTCGTTGAAAAACTGAATTTTCTTAAATCTTTAGCAACGTGCGGGCTTAGACGAAAAATCAAAAATTCAATATTCGATATCTACTCAACTCTAATTAGGTATATCTACTTAACAGTATGCTAAGTTTATAAAATGATGATAATTGTCATAGAGAAAAAGCAGTCACTAATAATTAGTCAAATTCTACTGAATGGAATAGTCAAATTAGTAGATTTAAATTTAAAAAAAGTTTTGACCCAGACGGGGTTTGAACTCGGGTCTGTCGCTTGTCAAGCGGATGTCCAACCGGATCTCTACTGTCACTTTTATAAAAATTAGTTTTATTTGTCTATAAATATTGTTAAAATATTTTTTCTACTCCCACCTTTAAAACGCCCTTTATCGTACATGTTTCCATGACACTACTGCCCTACTATGGAGAAAGGCAGTAACTGCAAAAAAATGCAAAATGCGTTTTCTTGTGCTATGGTAAAGCTATGGACATTTTGTAAACGAACTCAACACAGAAATGGAGTCAAATATCTCATAAGTTAAAAAAATCAATGAAATACCTACTGCTTTTTATAAAAATGTAGTTTATGATTATTTTCCACAAATTTCTTGTTTAGCAGTTACTGCCTTTCTCTATAGTAGGGCAGACTAAGTGACCTTTTAAATACACATTGACAAGTTGTGGCTTTATGGCGCTTTAGTCACGGGCTGAAGTTAGTTTTAAGTTAGTTGACAGTTGTCAAATGTCATACAATCGTTAAAATAAAGTGCCTTTCTTGTAAAATTATACCAAATAAGAAAATTATTTTATTATCTCAATACAAAAATAAAAAAGTATTAAATAGTTTCTCAACGCCAATATTTGAAAAGTTTATATGAACATTGTACTGACCTTTTAATTTCGCCGGCAATAAACTATAACTTAAATTCGGGCACGGAGTCCACTGTAAAGTGCTCATAAAACATTTTCTTTACTTTCACTGTAAAAAACTGTCAATTTTCAAAAAATACATTTCGATTTATAACCTTTATAATCTGTGTTTATAAAATAAAAAAATTGACATTTGACGGTGACACACAGATTCCCCTATTGTTTCATAGATGGTGCTCTATACAAATGTTTGATTTAAATCATTTTAAGATAATAATAAGAATTTGTCGTAGAAAAAGTATAGTAGGTACCTCGTTTATAAACTTTTCTATACACTCATTAATTTAAGCACTGGCTCGCAAGCTCGCTCGTGCCTAAATTAAATTCGTGTATAAAATGGCGTTTATCAAACTTGATACATAATATACTATTATATGAACATTGTGACCTTTTAGTTTCGCCGGCAGTAAACTAGATTTAACTTAATTTCGGGTGGAGACTCCACCGTGGTGCTCATAAATCCTTTTTCTTTAATTTTACTGTGAAAAACTGTTATTAGTCCATTTTCAACTCAAAATGAATTAGTCAAAATTGACACTTAATGGCAAATTTTTATGTAAAATTATCCCCTGAGTCTAAAAATACCGTTAAAAATTATGAAAGTAGACCAGTTTTTGACATATATTCAATTCCATATTATATGGAAAATTGACTATTTCTCAAAAACTATTTTACTTTTATAACTTTTGACGACATTTTCGCTAAATGTTCGGGATACAAATTGCTATTGACAATAATTATTAGTGGCTGCTTTTTCCCTATGAGAATTAGTCATTTTTGACTAATTCATTTTTAGAGAGAAGGGATTTCGATTTACACATAAAAATTTGACATTTTAACGGCCGCGCCGGATACAAGTTTCCAATAATGGCTACTCTATTGTTTTATAGATATCGCTCTATACACCGAAAAAAGAAATAATTGTATTAAATAAAAATATACTTGAACCAAGTAAATATATGTTTGATATAAGCCAATCACTTATAAAATTGAATCAACTACACAAAATAATTACTAGA